GCATTAAGGATTCAGCGAACGTACGCCCGTCCCGCATATACAATATAATAATAATATAATACATTATCGAAGATCCTATTGACGCACTCGAGTGTAGATCCGTGAACTTAGTCACCACCGACCTAACCGCACGGTACGGGAGAGTCCATTGAAATTCGGGTCGGCCCGACGGACACGTGACAAGACAGACAAGTGAGATTATACGAGTTCTGCCGCGGGTGGAATATTGGCTGTGGCGCGGTAAAAAATAATCATGAAAACTTCGAAAACCACTAACGTCATCATATCCTGGGCTGTGTGTATACATTATTATTATTATGACGTATTATGCACGATAATACTACACAAATGTACACAGTATAATGTGGGAGGTGTCACTGATCCGTTCGGATGCCGCGATAATGCGATACGGTTTTGGAAATACCCGGAATTTCTACACAATATTACTCATTAGTCATTAGTGTTCAGAAGATATTTACCGAACGATTGCGCAATGTCCTCGTGGAGGACAGCAAGTGTCTGCTCCCAAAATGCCCGAGACAAAATACAATTATGGCAATGAAAATATCGTTTGAGATTCTGAATGGACCAAATGAGCAATAATTAATGTGTCGATTTTACGACGGTTTGTATTATTTTTTAATTTTTGTATGTTGTCGGCTTTTGGAACAGTATAAAAAATGTTTTTCCTCACGAGTTAGTCCTTAATGAGTTTTAAAATACAATTTTAATGAACGTTTAGAGTCAAAATATTGATAAAATTGTTCTAAGTCATGATAATTTGTGATTTATTGTATAGCTATAATAATTCATAAAGTTTTTAATTTTTACAAATTAAATCTAAAAATTTAAACCAAATAGTTATTTATAATTTTTTTTTTCAGTAATTTTGAAATTTCAAAAATACATTCATAAAATTTAATTTTATAAACATTTGAAGTCAAAATGTCGACGAAGTTATAAAACATTTTTTCTTCTGATAATTTTAGTAATTTTGTTGTAATATAATACTCAGACTTATTTTAATCGATGTATACCACGAACCTATTCGTTCTGTTCAGTGTTCTAATAAGATACATCGGTATTTTAATTTATAATTTAAGAACAATAAAATATAATTTAATATAATAATAATTATTATATAGGATGTATTGAATTATAACAAAAATTTATTAAATATACTATACTATTAATGAAAAACAAATTACTAATAAGTAGGGAGTTATATAAATACAGTGTGCCCGTCTCTGCTCAGAAACTTTTTATATGTGCAATAATTTATCATTTAATTGAACACATTCATTACAGTGACCTATTCTCAATGGTGATTGGCGAGGTACGATCGAAACCTATTATACAGCAGAACGTCTTTCCTAGTTTTTATTTTATACTTTTAATTTGTTATTGATAAGAAAAAATGTGACTTTTTTGAACACCAAGACTATATAACACGTTAAACTTGTGTGAAGCAATTGTTACATTTTTTACTTTTACAATATTAAAGAGAACAATGACTAATAAAAATTAATATAGGTAAAAATAACTTATTCAAAACATTTTTTTTTAATACTGAAGCATTTCATAATTATATATTTTATGAATTTTTTAAATACTATATATTTCTATGGAATAAAAATCTATATTTTAATTTTATTATATTTATATATATTGTATATTATACATGTAAAGACGAAATGTGCGTAACTTATTTTGTGTTTTTCAATGCAGGTAATTAATTTTAACGATTCTTTAATGTTAAACTATGTACTCATATTGAAAAAAACTTACAGACAGTAATTAGTAGCGATGGTCTTTCGTACCAAAAATATCAACAAGAGCTAACCATTCGATTCATTTATTTGAGTTCAATAAACCAGTAAGTGGTGTATTTACATAACACGTAATAAAATCAGAGACGGACTATAATTATTAACATTTTATCGTCTCCAACAATAATAATTGTAAATGAGTACAAAAAAAAATAATAGCAATTTCACTAAATACATTGTGAGTAATATTGTATTTTGATTTGTTGTTTAAGTAACAATGTTTGAATAAGTAATACGTGAAGTTTTGATGTACAATGACAATGCACGTATGGTTTATAGGAAAAGCATTACTTATTTTGTTAGCAACAAGTCAATAAAATACATGTAACTTGTAATGTTTTACGAACGTTTAATGCACGATTATATCTCCTAATTTTTATTTCGGTCTTTACCACGGCGAAATCGTGTTTGGATTAACCTTGACATTGATAAAAGCAACAACTACATAATATATAATATTGATGTAACTTTTTTGAATTTTTCCGAACAAAAAGTACGCGTTTAGAAATACAAACACATTTAATCTACATTCGAATCGTATTTTCATAGAATCTTATTAATATTTATTGAAATGCTTAAATTTAATACTATAATATTTACACTTTTCTATTATGTATCTAATATTACTTTATATGTTCAAAATCATTTATTTTTTAAACGTAAATATACATTTAAGTAATTAACAATGTGCGCGTTTTTGGTTTATGTATTTAAATACAATAATAGGGATATAATAGTTATTACTTTATTTTAGTTTTTAAATTTTTTTTTTTTTTTTATTATCTTCAATATTTGCCGTATCCAATAATTTCTTTAGGTGTTCGTTTACATTGTTTCAGTTACTACATCAAATAATTGGTTTATTATTTTGTTGTTGATAACATTCCATATTAAAAACAAATAAAAAAATAAAATATTTGATCTACTTTAAGAGCTATATTTTTATATTTTTTTCAATATATATGAGTTTATGTAATAAATTTGATTTAATCATCGTTCATCAATTAAGTATAATTACTATTTAAACTTTACAATTTTTAACTGAAAAGCTATAACAAATTTTTAGAATTTAATTAAATTTATTCGTATATTTATTTTTAAAGCCTCTTTCATAATTTTAATTCATATAATTTAGATACATTTTATAAATAAATAATTTTCACTATTAAGGTTTTACCATATTTATAAAGTCAAATTCTACAAACGAAAGCTCCAAATTCAACTATTTAAAATCAATATCTATATAATTCAATAAAATATTAATCATTATTTAAATACTTGAATAACTATGTTGTATTTGTGTGAATTCTTTGCTGTAAAAATATAATTTAATATATTTATATTTCTGAACAATTATTAATTACTATTGCGTACAATGAATAAATCACTAGATGGATAATTGCTGCATTTATAGCTTTCTATAGAGTATCGATAACGACGATAACTCTATAATTTCTATTCGTTGTTTAATATACCTACCTATCGATTTAATTCCCATATGTTAGCGATTTCATTTAACCCAATAAACAAGTTGCAATTGTTAATTCGGCTTGTTTGGGAACCGGTGGGATGCAAGGTTGATTTAGTTTCAATTTCTATCGCATACGCAATACTAAAAACAAACTGATTACCAAGGCTGACCGCTTCTTTTAAAGATTGGTGAAAAATTCCTATCACCCATAGTAATAGAATTTTAGCAAAATGTGAAATGCAAAATAGTATGACAAAATAATACACAAGAATCGTATTATTATTATCATTTGAAATTGTTACTTAATAGTAAATGATGTTTTTATGCGATCTGCTGTTGACCTTTCTCAACTATAATTATTGTGTTTCAAAACAGCCAAATAAAAAGTATAAAACGCCAGTTTGAAAAATAATCACGTCGTTAAATTGTATTTTAACATAAGCTTGTTGTTTGTTTTTGTTTAAATACTTAGTTCAAATAATAGTTTATTTAATCTTTAGCTCATTTTTCATTTTAGTAGACTTGGTCAAAATAAATGTATTTAATCTAATAACTATAATTAAAATGTAAAGCACCGTTGAAATTAGTATTGCGTAAAATATTAGTTTTAGTTTATGTAAATATTGTTATTTTATTTTATCGTATATATTATATATAGAACGCTGTATAAAATATTTATTTACTTTGAAACAATAAATAAATATACATAATTAGTTTTAGAATTTCCCGATATTCACAGACCTATTCTGTTATTATAGTCATTAAAATACAACTCAAATAAATTTTATACTAAATTAGTTTGTATGACGTAAGTTCGAAATTGGGTTAAAATAGAAATTTTATTAAACCATAATTTTTACCCTTTGTGGTCTTTATAAACATAACGTGGCTTAAAGAACACCATACAACCTTGATGTATGGTGAAATTGAAGGTACAAAAGATGGTTAGATTATTATAACCATATGTTTATAGATACTTATTCAAATTATAAGGTATTACTGATATTAGTCACTAAAAGTATATTAGGATTGTTTCACCACAAAAATCGTTTAAGTATATTATGAATGGTAAAATATTTAAAAAATGTATAATTATGTAAATAACATAAGACTATTTATTAATTTATAATTAAAAAAATAAGATTATCTCTAATTCGTTAGATAATAACATGAAGTTTAGAAAATAAAGTCAACAAACGACAAAATTGCATCAAAATATCAAAAAGAATATTGACGTATATATTATACAAATCTGACATTTAAAGCTAATAATAAAAAATAAAACGTTATGTAATCTTTGTGGTCAATAATATATTTATAGTTAATTATGAAAAAAATTAACAACTCAACTACTTATCTGATTCAACAATTAATAATTAATAAAGTGTATAAAATGATTGCCTGAAAATTAAAATTTGAACGGCTTAAGAAAACTTAAACTGAGACAATAAACCATAATCATAGCTTAAAAAAAAAAAAGTTTTCAAAGTTTTGCTAGTATTGTAGCTAGTTTAATATTATTATAAGTTATGGCCTATCACAGAAATATAATTATCACGAATATAGCATAAAAAAAAACAAATGTTTGGATTATTATACATCGCCGAGTGAAATAACCTTTTCGTGCTCGTCAAGCATATAATATATTATCTAGGATTTTATTTTATTAATAACAATATAATAATTAATATGACACATACCTATGGTACAGAATGGTTTCCTTTTATGATTAGACGTATTGGACGTTTCGCCTCTGGAGGTTGTGGAAGAAGTTTCTGTGGACAAGCCTTTGTCGCTGGCCGTTTCAAGACAGGGCCATTTCACGTCATCTTCTTTTTCTTCAAGCGGCTCACTTTTCACCAGTGCTGCGGTCAAATTCAGGGCAGCTATGTTAGTTTTGTAATAATTTCGCTGATTTTGATCCATGTCGTCCGCTCTCGTTTGGCTCGTGCAGTGGCGGCGAATAAAATAGCGAATGATATTATATAGTCAATAGAGATATCCGATATCCTGATGTACAATCTAACTTCGTACCATTGTTTTTATATGGTATCACAAAGTTCTGTAACAAAAATTGGACACTGATAATAAAGATCGTAGATAATGTTGATAATACATTATTATTTTTATGATTAAATAATTAGCCGTTTATATATTACGAACGGAACGATTTAATGTAAAATACATTTTATATTACAAGGCGAACCGCAAGAATACTACTTTCGTTCATTACCTACGTCGACGATTGTATAGAGAGAAGGAAAAATAAATCTCGTTGACAACTATATTACAAAAAATTAATATATTAATATTTTTTTTTTATTATCAGTAGGTTCAATAAATTAAGTCTATCATAGTACGTTTATTGACAAATTTTATAAAAAATAAAATATATTAAAGATTTAAATTAAAATATTATTGAATTTTAAACTTATTTCTAATACTTTAAAATATTTTATACGTTAATTTTATAATATAATATGTGTACCTACTAAATTATATTTTACGCAAAAATGTGAAATATTATAATTTTCATTATTAGTTATAACGACATACGCAAAATTAATAAAAATTAATTCTCTTACAGAATATTGAAGTTGATATTTGAATTAATTTAAGAATTAAGATAATTTTGTATTGAATATTTTGTTGCATTATAATGTCAATAAAAATAAACTATTTTTAATGAAGACTACGTAAGCGTAAAAATAAATATATTGTAGAAACCATAACAAAAAATTATTACATAGTATTATATATACGAAGAAATGCAATAGTATATTAAAATCTAATTTTCTTAATCGTTTTGATTAAAAATTTAAACGCGTTAAACATATAGTTGAAAAATAATTATAGATTCGTTTTTAATCAAGTACTAACTATTATTATTAGGTCATTGAAGTAGATAATGAACAAATCAAATTACGATTTTTACATTTATACATTTCTTATTTTACAAATTTAACGCATTAAATCAGTATTAATGCAAAAAATAAAAAAAAATAAAAAAACATTTTTAAGATAGGAATTGATATTTTCTTACAATTTATTCTTTAGCCATTTACGTACACTGTAACTATGTAACATAAAAATGATTACACATAATTTATGGCTCAATACAGGAAGATGAGCGTAGTGTGTTTGTAACTTTTGTATGAATAATAATAAAACGTATAATTATTGATATCACGTATTTAAGCATATTGTTATGATGAACAGGACTATAATAAGTATAGTATATATAGGACATAATTTCGCGATTTTATACCAAACCTCGCGTTTAAGTACAAACACGGTATTCCAGTGTGGACAAAAAACGTAATGAAAAAAATTTCAGAATAAAAATTATTTATTATTACATAAAAAATCTTGTACGTAGATAATGTGGGTACACTCACGCTGTTGTCCGGACGTCGATGTCGCGTTAAACGAAAACGGCCGGCGATTAACGGTTATGATAATAATTAGTGTATCGTTGCAATTTTCGTGAAAACTATGAACGAAACAGAAAATCAAAAACAAATATAACGAGAAAAACGCACAAAATTTCACAGGAAAACGTCGTTTCGTTCGTCAGGTGCCCGGCCCGGTCCAGGTATAAAAAAAATCTATAATATCGTGTGCAGTATTGCGTTAAAATTTAATGATAAAAAAAAAAATACGCACGCACACTCGATATTTATATATTTAATATATACACAACATATATGCATCGATATTGCAGTTAGTGTTTGACCAGAACAGGACAGTTAGAGCCAACGGGCACCGAACAATGACTGCAGCCTGTGGAGTATCCGTTCGTTTGCCGGGTGCCACTGTACGCGGATCCGCTCGTCGCTCACGGCCATCGAAGCTCCCTTTCCCTTCGCGTTGTAGTCAAATTGCATACGCTGGTCCCCGTGCAACGCGCATCGCCGTCGTTTCTGCAGTGGCTGTCGATAATAATAATAGTAATAATAGTAATATTATTATGATCACGGATTCACACGGCTGTCAGCGGCGAGATGAAAAACTAATAGTAATAATAAATAATACGAAACAAAAAGTAGGAAACGATTTCGACCTGCACGCGCTCGCTTGCCTATGTATACAGCCGTGGCATGATAATAATTACAACAGTGATATAATAATATGGCGAGGTACGACGACTCACGTTCGATTGTATTGGCTTGATATTGTATAGCGAACAGACGAACACGATCGTCGGTCGCACATCAATATGTACGTTATAAGATAATATGATTATTTATTATGCATAATATTGTATATTTACTATATAACAATAATTCATCCGATGCGATTTCCGCAGGGCATCTGAAAACGATTTACGTGGATTCGTCGTACAAAATATTCGGTTAAGACTATACGATGTATGGGTTATTATACACGTGTTTGGCCGTTTTACGTCTGAATGCGACACGTCTGAGCACTTTAAGTAGTACAGTGAAACGTCGTCGAGTCGAAATTCAATAATCTCCGATTTATTGAGATGACAAAATATTAATATATTCGAGATATTAAAGCTAAATTCTAAACTTTCCAGAGTTTTTTTTTTTAATAAATAAGTAGCTAAATATATGCTCATCTCATTAACTGCCGTACGTTGTTGAATACTAAAATTTAGTGCGTATATTATACACATGTAATAAAATAACTTATACACATTTTAAAAGATATATATAAATTACGTGAAGGTATATTATAAATTATGTATTATTACGTTATCACAAGCAATAATTTAACTATACTTTGGATGAGATTCTTTTGTACACAGCCATTATCGACAGTATTTTATTGTATATAAATTTATGTATATCTTGTCTGTGATTGCAATTCTGCAATCGATTAATTATTCACTACACGTAATAAAGATACGTACATTGTACATTGTAATGTATACTAGATTTTAAAGTTCCTTAAACCTTAAGCAATCTTCATGAGATAAATGAAATACGAATTTGGTGTATGCTAACGTGGAGCCAAATATTTAGAAAAAGAAATTTCGTATATTTTAGGCTATTTATGTTATTTTTATACAATTTCTACTTTCATGGATACCTAAATTTAAATATTAAATAGAAATACTGGAAATACGCTTTTACTGATAAATCTACATTAAAAATATACCTAATTGTTGTAGGTCACCGAAAAGGATGTAGATTCTGAGTGAAAACAGCTAGGTATCTATTTCTAAAGATATTTAATATTTTATTGTTAGTACATATTATTTTAATGGGTTAATTTGGTAAGTTAAACTACTCTTGTAAACAATATCATACAAAACTTACAATTCAATATCGATGTATCGTTGAATGGTTTATTGTTGTAATACTTTCAAACCGTATGAATTTTTAACTGAAAAATAATTTTTAAATCATTTGTTGTTCGATTTCAATATATTTCACGTTTATATTATTATATATGCATTATCAATATCGTTATTTAATAATCATTATGTATGATTCAATGTCATCCACGTTCTTATACGCGTATTTCAACGTTTTGTGTTTGATTGTTTGTCGATTTTGTTGAACGAAATAATTAAACGTTTTTAATGTATTATAATATACAAAGTAAAATTTTAAGGTACCTATTTAAAATGTATTATAGAAAAAACAAATTTAATTTATTTGCGTATATTTCTAATTTCAACTTTCGTTTGTATAGAATTAATTTTTTTTATTTTTCATCCTATAAGTTTCGAATACTTATCTAACTAAAATTTTATTTTAGAGATATAACCGATTTTCTTTTTTTAAGAGGAAAATAGCAAACGCACAGTACCTGTCAACCTAACAAAAATATTCAAAGATCGTTTTTGCGTTTGACGTCTTCAATTTATTTATACATACAGTGTTCGGGTAAGAATAAATATTAAAATAAAATGTACGTCATAAATCTTAACGTACGTGACTCAAAAATTTTGTTTTGTGTATTTGCCTAACCTATTTGTTTAATCATATGGCACATGTAGTCATCTAGCCAATAGACAGACTTTATATTATTATAATATTATATCCCAATGTGTACTTGAAACAAGGAATAACCGAGAAACATATCAGATTGCAGAATTACGTTTTACTTATAGTATCTTCTATGAATATGATTCCGGATGGATTAACCGAAGACAGTTGAGAATTATTTTTAAATGATTTATGGTTATAGATAAGTATATACAGTAGAAGCCTCGGTTTATTAGCAACACTTTGGGACCAAGGTGAAATGTATCAATAATTAACCGATTGTTTCTAATAAGCGATTGGTTTGATTTGTACTATGAAAAAAAAAAAAAATGAAAATAAATATTTAAAAAAAATAAACAATGTATTATTAACTATGTATGTATAATCTAAAAAAGTATGTATATATTTTACTATGTTATTTAAAATATGTATGCATCTATCGATGTTTGTTTTCTTCGTCGAGTGACCATATATTATATTTTCATACGAGTAATGCTGCTCAAAGCCTTTTTCATCTGCACTGTGCTGGGTTGCTGTCTTGAGGACACAGTTTCTTTGATTAATGAGAGTGCCAGGGATACCTCAAACTTCAAACAATACGTACAGGAAGGGAATTTCTTACATATTATGTAGGTACCTAGTACCTACTATACTTACGATAAATTACAGTAAAAATAAACGTAATGACAGAAAAGATAATTTTAAAGTACGTTGGTTTTTTCCGGATAACCGGTGTATATTTCAAATTACCTTCGCCTAATTGTTTCAAATAACCAATGTGATGTTTCAATAATCCGATTTATTTTCAACGTTCAAATATACGGCCAGTCCGCTCCGAGACGTTTTTTTTCAATAACACGATTGTATCAATTATTCGTGTTTCTAATAAGCGGCTTCTACTGTATTTACTTACAACTTTGAATTTTAATTAAAAAGTTAACTAGGTATGATATTCTTAATCTCTACCTTATATTAAATTACCTAATCTGTGTTCAGCTCAGAACTAATACAGTAAACAAATTATTATTTAATATTTATCAGCAATAACACCAATAACTAAGATAAAAGTTTTTTTTTTTACAAAATTTACTGTTTTTTACAGTTTATATTATTCTAGAAATTCTATCAATATTGCATAATTTTGAAAACATATTAAATTATAATTATATTCAACCATGACATCATTAAAATTTGAATTAATAATGTTTTAAGTTTTAAGCTGATCAATCAATAATGTACATTGTACTGATTTTACAACAATAAGTGTATAGTTTTTTTTTTTTTGTTAATGTGTAAATGTCGATAAAATATTTTGATTTTCGACTTCGAAGATAGTTTTAGATAGAAAATTGAATCTCATTTGTACTTTGGAGAAATTAATATCAAAAAAATTAAAATTTCTAATGATTTTTTTTAAATTTGAAAAAACCAAAAAAAAAAAAAAAAATTATAGGAAAAGCAGAAATTTTTACTTAAATCTAATTTTTTACAGAATTAATTTTATTTTTATTTTTTTGATATAACTAAAGAACGAATAAGAGCTTATACTTGAAATTATCACCAAATGTTTAAATTATTACTTTCAATTTACGATCAAATTTTCCTCAAATATTTTGATTCTTTTACAATGGGCATGAGAAATGTATGAATTTTTTTCTATAAAATAACTGTTGATTAAAAATTATTCATTGAGTAGAAATAATTGAAAATTTAATACAAAACTTTTCATAAATTGTTTATTTTTCGATTAAAAATGTTTAAAATATATAAACATAATATGTATTTATAAATTTTTAAAATAAGAATTTTAACAAAATTCATCAAAATCTAAAAAAATTTATAAATTATTTTGTAATTAGAAATTCCTAATAATTTTAATATTTATACCTAAGATTTTTACATATAATATAAGGTTATTCATTACTTTTTTAGCTTCTATACAACTGAAAAATTCTTGAACCGGAAAGACAAATGAATTTTTTATGATAATTTCAAGTTTAAATCTTTATGACATTGGATATTCACCTATACAATAATTATATCTCCTCAAACAAAGTTTAATATTATTTGTTATATTAAAAAAAAAAAAAAAAATACAGTAGATACTTGAAATTTTCACCAAATGTATAAAATATAATTTTAATTATATAGTAAAATTTTTAAAAATTATCAACTATTTTTAAGCTACTTATAGGCATAGACAATTTTTAATTACTTTTGTTGGTTTTTTGGTTCTATAATTATTGATAAAAAAATTCGTCGGGTAAAAATTGTTAACAATTTAATATAAGGTTCTATATAAGTCATTCATACTAAAATCATAAAATCTAAAAAATATATATACAGAATTTTTTTTAATATGCATTTGATGTTACAATTTTGACGAAATTCATAAAAATTACAAAAAAATTGCTAACTATTTGTTTACACCTAAGTTTTGAAAATTTAATAGAAGATTCGACATAAGTAGTTCATACAGATATCATAAAATCTTAAAAAATATATTAAAACATTTATACTTTATAGATATTTTAAGTTAAAATTACTTATTTAAACGATAGATAATACGATGTTACTTATTTTGTCATAATTTATAAACATTATTTTTGAAAACTTAAAACTTTTACGTACATTTTATTATCATGAATTTTACTGTAAGCAATAATATTTTCATTTACTTAATAATTATACAAAATAATATAAATATTTTTATTTTTTTCTTAATTTTAAGCTTTGACAACTTAGTCTATTAATTGTGAATTTTTTTTTAGTTTGTTACTGTAGAATGCGATACTGTAAGTTTTGAAGTACATGTTTTTCGTATGTAGA